ACGCAGCCCTCTGAAGCAGACTTGACGTTCTTGATGAACTTGTACAGCGTACCACGAGTGGCCTTGAGAGGAGGAGCAACCCACTCCTTCTTACGCTCAGCCAGCTCCTCAGCAGTCACGTCCACCAGATCGATGCGGTTCTTCTCCGCGTCGACCGTGATCTTGTCACCGTTCTTTACCAGAGCAATGGGGCCACCAACTTGGGCCTCAGGAGTGATGTGACCAATGATGAAACCGTGCGAGCCTCCGGAGAATCGGCCGTCCGTGAGCATGGCAACATCCTTACCAAGACCAGCTCCCATGATCGCCGACGTAGGAGCAACTGCAACATCAAAAACAAAGATACAACGTCAGAATCAAAACAACTCAATCATCAGGCCAGAAGATACAAGACTTACGCATCTCCGGCATGCCAGGGCCGCCCTTGGGGCCTTCGTATCGGATGATGACGACGCTTCCCTTCGTGATCTCGCCCTTCTCCAGACCAGCCATCATGTCCTCCTCGCAGTCGTACACCTTAGCCGTACCGGTGAAGACAAGACCCTCCTTACCGGTAATCTTGGCAACCGAACCCTCTGGAGCCAAGTCACCACGCAGGATACGCAGATGGCCGCTAGACTTCAGCGGACGGTCCACAGGGTAGATGATCTCGTGGTTGTCCGAGAGATCAGCCACCTTCTCAAGGTTCTCCGCCAGCGTCTTGCCCGTCACAGTGAGGCAGTCGCCGTTAATGTAGCCCTGGTTCATCAGGTACTTCAGCACGGCAGGAGTGCCACCCACGCGGTGGATGTCCTCCATCACGAACTTACCACTGGGCTTGAGGTCAGCTAGGAACGGCACGCGCTCACTGATCCTCTCGAAGTCGTTAATGGAAAGCGGGATGTTCGCGGCGCGAGCAATAGCGATCAAGTGGAGCACGGCGTTGGTGGAGCCACCCAGAGCCATGGTAACTGTAATAGCGTTCTCGAACGCCTCGCGGCTCAGAATGTCAAGAGGCTTAATATCCTTCTCCAGAAGCACCTTAATCGCCTCACCGGCTTGGTGGCACTCGCTCTGCTTCTCAGGCGAGTCAGCAGGGAAACTGGACGAGAACGGCAGACTCAGACCCAGCGTCTCGATAGCCGTAGCCATCGTGTTGGCCGTGTACATACCACCGCACGCGCCAGCACCAGGGCAAGCGTGACGAATGATATCGTGACGCTCCTCTTCCGTGATACGACCGGCAATGTACTCACCGTACGCCTGGAAGGCCGAGACGACATCCAGGGTCTCACCCTTAGAGCTGCAGCCAGCACGGATTGTACCACCGTACACCATCAACGACGGACGGTTCACACGAGCCATAGCAATCACACACCCAGGCATGTTCTTGTCGCAACCGGGGATACAAATGTTCGCGTCGTACCATTGGCCGCCCATAACCGTCTCGATCGAGTCGGCGATCAGGTCACGCGACTGCAGACTGTAGCTCATGCCATCAGTGCCCATACTGATGCCGTCGCTCACACCGATTGTGTTGAAACGCAGACCCACGAGACCAGCGGCGTTCACGCCCTTCTTCACCTCGCCGGCAAGATCCAGCAGGTGCATGTTGCACGGGTTGCCCTCCCACCACATGGAGGCGATACCCACCTGGGGTTTGTCCATGTCTTCCTCAGTCATGCCAGTGGCGTACAGCATGGCCTGCGAGGCGCCACGAGCCTTGGGCTGCGTGACAGTGGCGCTGTAGCGGTTGATACGCACACCATCAGCGGCCTTGGGGCTGTCGCCTCCGGAGGTGGCAAAGGTTCGCTGTAGCAGCGTCTTGCGCATGGGCGAGGAGGCGCCCGTACGCTGCATGGTCTTGCTCAGCATCTTGCGGTCTTAAAAGCTATGAGCGGTCGGATCGAAGAGTGAGCGCCGATGGAGGTGCTTGGGGCTGAGAGCTGCTGATGCTGGTGGTGCAGGGCGCAACCTAAATATGGTTGCGCAAGCGTTTGCGCAACTTTAGCAGGGAACTGAATGACAGGATTGGCTGAAAAAGGGACGCCAAAAGATTTTTCCTGTTGTGTGACTGATCAAAAGTCTGCACCTCTCTAAACTGATCGCACACGTTGAAGTGAGACTTGGCAAAAGCCGAAACGTCACACTACCATTCTCGTGTTGAGCCGACGCAACGTAGCAACCTGGCGGACGACTACGACTTGGAGGGTGTGACGGCGCGGTTGGAAGCCATGAAGGCCAGGAGGGAGAAATGGCACAACCGAAAGGCCGACGAATTGGAGAAACAACAATTATCAGAACGAGAAATCACTTGTGGATTTGAATTGGCACCGGCTGATCTTTCGAGTGGCGGGTCGGATGCAGACTGCAATGACGGCTATCAATCTAGCAGCACTAGCTCATTGCCCAGTGACGAGGATAAAGTGGTGACGTCGTATTCGCAGGCACAGAAAGATAAAAGCAGAGGGAGGGCACGGAAGCTTAGAGTAACAGACAGTCTTGATCTCTCCATGTCGGTGGCGACATCGAGTAGATCATCACGTCAGGCCGAAACAATGCATAGTGACCGCACTAAATCACAAGCAACGCATTCAAAATTACTAGGCAAGGGTCCGACATATAACGGTGACAGCAACCAGAAGTCGTCTAATGCACTGCTAAAAAACAATCCTACTTGCAAACCCTCAAGAATACCGAAGCTTGTGCAACAACGTCGCCAGCTGCAGGGTCTGCGTGCTGTTGCATCAGGAGGATATTTGCAAGCACCGATGTCGGCAGTGGGTTCCAACGGTCCAACTACTAAGTGGCAGCATAAAACGCTAACGTCTGGACATTGTTTCAGCCCTCCAGACGCATCAAAAAAGGAGACATTGCCGCACTCTACACGATCTCCAATTCGTGACGTACCGAAGCGGAGCAGCTCGATCTCTTTCAAGAAAGAAAAGACAAATAATTGCGATGGAGATCTTGAAGAAATTGGTTCTACCACTGCTGAAGAGCAGCGACTGCTCCAATCTTTGGAAAAGCTCGATCGACGATTGTCAAATGTCAGTAACTCGGCTGTATCTGTACGCGAAGGTGGCGAACAGACCTCACACAATGAACGAAGCCTGAAAGATGATTCTATTCGGGCTCGACACGCCACTGAAAACCACCCGAGCACAGTGTATGCCACTAACGAGAATGAAATCGATGTCAACACGTTACGAGCTGCAGCGTATGGGGGAGGTACCCACTGTAAAATCCGTCAGCCGTCATCGGTATCTGTGCGCTCGTCCTCAGCGAAGCGTGCTGAGCTTTCCAGTGGTTTTCACAAATCTCGAGTTCGAGTAGGTGGTGCATTCATGAACGATACTCACCAAAACAGCCATACAGACGGAAGCGGGAAGCACAAAATTGTGGTGAAAAAGGATCTGGCACATTTGCTTTTCTAAAAAGACAGAACCTTGAATTCATTTTGTACTGCTTTACAGCTCGCCGCAATCCACAATTGCGACTTCATTCTCAGGAAGGGGGCGACTATTGCCATTGCTCACCTTCACATTCTGCATCGCGTCCACAACATCGAGACCTTCAATGACCTCACCGAATACCACGTGCTTCCCATCGAGATTCTTGAGGCCTGCCTTCGTCGTGATGAAGAACTGCTCATGGTCAGGCAACAAAATGAATTTTACACAACTACCTGGCTTGAAACCATACTTTAGCTTGAGTACAATGCGTACCTGCGAGCCATTTGTATTCTTGCCAGCATTGGCCATCGATAGTAGTCCTACGTCGTCGTGGGGAAGAAATTTTTCATCTTTAAAATTTCCCCAGAGATCACCATGTGGAGTGCCGCGGTAAATGCTCTGACCACCAGTTCCGTCCCCAGTGGTGAAGTCTGCGCATAATCACAGTATAAAGTGTCAGCACACGCATATCTGTATGAGTTAGAGACTTGGATGCTAACCTCCGCCTTGGACAACGAAGTTCTTAATGATGCGGTGAAACTTGCAGCCCTTGAATGTAAGAATTCCACCCTACACACACATGAAAAGATTATTGCGTTAGCCACCACCAATCCAAGATTCTACAACATCTAACATCCACCTTTTCTCCTGTGCATAGGCAGCGGAAGTTCTCCGAAGCGAGCGGGATTTCGTCCTTCAGCAGACGCATGACGATCCTGCCCGCTGGAGCTCCAGCAATTGAGATGTCCAAGTAAACAGTGGGGTCGGTTGCCTTCGTGATGAACCTCTTCTTGCGTTCTTTCAGACTAGCGACTGACACATAGCGCTCATGGAGCTTCTGAAACAGCTCTTCTTCTCGACCGCTGTACGTCTCCAACGTGCGATCCACTGAATTTAGCTTGGACGGGTTGTATTTGGTGTAAAACTTCACCAGCCGGTCCTTAAAAGATTCTTGAGGCGACAATGAGGACCCGCTGTCTTTCGCAGCACTGCCGAAGCTCCAAGTGGAAACACTAGATTGCGTTGCATCCGCTTTGACCTGGCTGGAGCCCAGACCGTAACCTTTCTGAAGCAGCCTTTCAACGAGGCTGGCTTCCGTACTGGTATCCTTCCCAAGCAGAGAAGCTATACCTTCGCCAATGTTCCCAGCTTCGTCCACCAACTCCTGGTGCTGCTTGCGCCACGACTGTTGCGAACGCTGTCTAAATGCCATCGGTGACTCAGAGTCCGGACCGATGGAGCGGCTAAGGCTGCCCGAACCGCCTGACGAGCTGAGCTTCCGCTTGGCTTGTTGTGCAGCTTTTTCTAACTCTCCCAACGCCGGGTCATTGCGCAACTTCTTGGCTTCCTCCCACTTCTGTAGCGACTTTTTCTTGAATGCTGTCGCTATCGCCACACTCTCGGGATCCGTCACTATTTCGGCGTCGGCATTGCCCTACTTCCAGGGGGCGGACACAACAGCAGCAGCCACACATACTCAGATCACACGCATAGCTCCAACATGGATGTATCGTCAAAGACTCACGTTAAACAAGCGCACCGGGTGTCTAGGTAGCTCTTCATCCACCATCATTGCCTGATGTATACAAAAAGCATCTGTATACTTGGAGGTACAGATATGTGGCCCACATTTGTGAAAAATGTCTTGTGATTCGCAGAAAATCGGATCGAGTCAGCGATTGGCCAGCGATAGTGATTGGAGGCGGGTGGTTCGTAGGCCCCAAAGCTTCCCATGCTCCACCATTTCCTCTTTCTTCCCCGGTGAAACCTCGAAGCAAAAATGGTGTTTGAGAAGCCGATCGTTGTCGACTGCCGTGGCCACCTGGTGGGCCGTCTGGCCTCCCTGATTGCCAAGGAGCTCCTGCAGGGCCAGCACGTCGTTGCTGTGCGTTGCGAGCAGCTTGAGATCTCCGGCTCGCGTAAGTATTCCCCCCTGACTTGTAATATTGTATTCCAGAGACAGACAGGTCCAGTATAAATTGTCAGTCGCACACGCGTCCAGCATTTTGGTGCCTATAGGCGTCTGTGTGCATACTGGACTATCTGGACCTGTCGCGTAGTGCAGTGAAGCAGAGTGTCTCGCTTCGTAGAGATTTTTTGAGTGTGGCAAGGAGTGCTGCCAGTCGAGTGTGTTTCAATTTCCGCCCGCTATCTGCAACGACTCGCTGAGGTCGCGATTCGTGTCGTTCGTCATCTGTCTGGATCTTCGGCTGCTGCGCCGCTGCGTTCCGCGTTGGATTTTACTAAGAGGTGAAGCGTGAAGATGTGGAACGTGATGGTCGATATAATGCTTAGCGTTGAGTAGCCAGCGAAGTGAAGGAAGCGAAGACTCAAGAAATTTGCGATCGAGAGGCGCTGCAGATGAGGAAACAAGCGGATGCAATCGCTGCAAACCTCCCCAAACATGCAAAAGTCGCTGCGTGCAGGCACCCTGCCGAGCTGCAGAACATCTCTGGATGTTGTTGTAGTGAAGCAGCGGTGTGTCATGCCGTCTGTGTGGTTTGAGAACGGATTACTGATGTGATCTGCTCTTGCTTCCACGTATACAATAGACGTGCGCAACAAAGTCAAGTTCTTCCAGTTCTTGAACAAGCGTACGGCCACCAACCCCAAGAAGGGCCCCATCCACTACCGTGCCCCGTCGCGCATGCTGTGGCGCACGATCCGTGGCATGCTGCCGCACAAGACGGCCCGTGGTGCCGCCGCCCTGCAGCGTCTTAAGGTACGAACTCGTCGCTCTTCAGTTAGTTTGATTTGATACTGGAGTCTCACATGGCGTTAATCCATTGATTGCAGACGTTCGACGGCATCCCGTCGCCGTACGACAAGCAGAAGCGCATGGTCATCCCTGCCGCTCTGCGTGTGCTTCGCCTGAAGGCCAACCGCCGCTACACCGTCCTTGGTGACCTCGCCTCGGAGGTCGGCTGGCGTCACGCCGAGCTGGTCAAGCGCCTCGAGGCCAAGCGTATGCTCAAGTCGGACGCCTTCTACAAGAAGAAGGTCGCCCAGCAGAAGCGTCTTGCCGAGGCCGAGTCCAAGGTGTTCGCCGACAACAAGGAGCTCAAGCCCACGCTTGCCAAGTACGGCCACGCTCTCTAAGTTGGTTGCTGCTGCACTTGGATTCTTGGTTCACATCCTTGAAAACATTAGCACATGCACTTGTTTCTAATTAACAATGGAAACGTTTGAGGAAATTTCACCATTTCTATCTTATGATCATTAAACTACGTTGAATTGCCTGAACAAAACTTTATTTTTCGTACAAATATCGCCCTTGAACACAGTTTCATTCACAACGTTATGCGCTGCATCGAGTCCCTAGCTTCTACAAACACGAAAATGAATCAAAATGCTGCCTACAGCCCGTCGAAGGCGCTAAACTTGTCTCCACTTTGCTGTTGAGGTGCGTACGGATCGTAACCGGGAGCTTGAATCTGCAGCATCTGGCCGGGACCGGCCAGGCCCATGTTGTTTTGACCGTAGCCTCCTCCACTAAGAGGCGCTTGTTGCTGCATTCCGTACGGAGTCATCTGCATCATGCCTGGGTTGTACTGCTGCTGCTGGTGGTTCATCATTCCGTTGCCCATATTCTGGCCATAAGGCACCATTCCTTGCTGCTGGGCCATCGGGTTCGCCTGCATCCCCATTGTGTTCTGGCTGGTGTATGTCGGTGCTCCGGACTGAACACCACCACTTATGCCCATGCTCATGCCATTAAACATGGTGCTACCGCCACCACTAGAGCCTGGAGCTGGCGCAGGAGGTAGAGCAGTGAGCAGATTTCCTGTATCGAGCAGATCGTTCGACTTGGGCGACGACTGTGTAAGAAAAAAAAAACAAAGCACAACAGCACGTAAGCAACGAGAATTTTGCACAACACAGCACCAAATCCTTTGAACGCACCTTAGTCGCACTCGCGTCAATGCCAAGCAAATCAGCGTTTCCATCGTCCTTCTTGCCCGCGCGACGGTTGGATCTAGCGCTTCCCTTCTTGCCTGCACGACGACGTGCAGAAAACGATTCAGCTCGCTCTGCTGCAGACTCGCGTCGCCCATCCGAGTCCCGTCGTTCCGTTCTGGTACTCTGTGTTCTGCTGCTAGAGGACGAGCTCGAGTTGCCCAGATAAAACGGGTCATCCGAGTATCGCTCGGGTCTTTGGTTTTGAGCAGCTTCGGGCTCCGGTTTCTTCTTGGGGACATACTCTTCAGACAGCAACTTGTTAGCAGCAGCAACACCAGACTCCCGTTCCTTCGAGGCCTCTGCAGCGCGAACGGCTTCGGACATTCCCGAAGCGGCTGTGATTCCTGTTGTCACAGAGCTGACGGAGCTCTGAGAAGTGAACGACTTGTCACGCTCGCTGATCACAGCCTTCAGCATGTCCTGAATCTTCTCGCACACCATGTCGAACTGCGAGTTGTTCAGTGTCTGCTCCCACAGCAGCGGAGCCACCGCAGGAATAATAAGTTTGGCAGTGAACTCCGGACCCAAATGCTTGCCGAGGTTATCGTAGCATCCCAGAATGCACATGCACGCTGCGGGGGTCTTGTCTTCATGAAGGGTCTGTTGTAGAGTGGGCAGAACGCTCTCAATCAGCAGATCCTTGTCAAACACGTGGAACGACTTGGCCAGCCACAGCAACGCGTTTATCCTCACTGACGGCTGAGGAGGAGTCAGGATGAGTTTGTTCACACGCGGCAAGATCACCTGCTTCAAGATACGGTACTCGAACAAACTGGCTTGGTCCACGATCTTGTTTAGCACTGTGTCCAAGATTTCGGGCACAGTGCTGTCCAGAGCGCGGCATAGCATGGGTACAATGTGATCACGAATGTAGCCATCTTCAGCCTTGGGGATGAGAGTCTCGAGCTCCGAGACGAACATGAGCATACATTGCACAGGCTCAGTAATAGCGAGCAGTGGGACCATCATAGGCGCGATAGAGTATGAGAAAGTCTGCTTGTCCACCTTGGCCACGATCTTCAGCAGCGGCGTGATCACAAATGGAGCCACAGCCTTGTTAATTACCACTGACTGGAGGCCAGGAATGACCATATCACGCAATACACGCGGCGAGAAGCCATCGATAGCATCAGGCAGCGTCGTCAGGAACTTGGCCTGAGCTGCTGGCTCCTGTTCCACGAGACTTTGCAGCATACGCAGCGTCTTGATCGGACCCGAATCGAAAAACGGTGACGCGAGGAAGGCACGCGCCTCCGGACGCTTCGCTGGCTCCAGCGAGAGCAAGGAGCGAATGGTGTTCTGCAGTGCAGTGGGCACGGAGGTTGGGAACGAAATCGGGTGCAGAGACTGCACTTTGTAGCCATGAGTCATCTTGTTGCCGTCATGTACGTCCAAGACCGGGTTGCGTCCGCCATCCGCGCGAGGAGGGACGAACAACTCGTACACCAGCAAACCGAGCGAGAACATATCCGCTTTACTATCGAACTGACGTGGCTCCGTCACCAGTTCTGGGGCGCAGTATTCAAGCGGAGGCTCCCAACTCCCTTCAATCGCTCCTGTGGCTGGATTTCGTACTCCCGTTGAAGCGTCGAAGCTGTAGTATTCGCTGCGTGAAGTCTGTCCAGGCTCCACGACTCTGCAGAAGCCCATACCGCCGAGTTTCCACTCGCCCTTGGGCGTAATGAAGATACTGGTCGGACCTAGACTGAGATGCACACGACGTCCTTCACGATGCAGGAAGCTGAGCGCCTCTCCCACGTGCATGAGTCCGCAGGCGAGCTCGAACTCCGTGAGGCCGATCTCCAGCACCTCAGGCGTGACGTTAGCGATGTTCGTGAAGTTCTTGCAGGCGTTGGCTAGTGAGCACGTGACGCGCTCTGTGACGAAGCACAGCGAGCGGCGGCTCTCCTCGAAAACCTCCTCTACTTTGAGCACATGCGGATGACGCAACACACGCAGCGTCTTCATCTCTTGGCGCAAGATTTCCAGCACGCGGTCCTGTGCCTCCTTGCTCTTGAGTTTCTTGAGGTCTTCCTTGTCGAAGAGGAACACGCTGTATTCGTGGTTGGTTTTACGGTGCACGGCCGGGAAAATCTTCCACGACAGCTCGTGGCCGCCAGATGCGGTGCAGTCTTTGGGCGTCTCGTAGTGCTTTAGATACTCCTCGCTCAGCATGCCCTGCAGGTTCTGTGCGCCTGAGACGGCGGCCGACGCCGCGCCGGACACAGCCGTCTGCACGGCGCTCGAGAAGCGGTTCAGCATGCTCATAGCGACTGCTGCTTGGAATCAATCGGAGATTGTTTGAGTGTTTGCCCGCGTGTCAGACTCTGAAGGAAGGGGCGGCATACAAATTCCAAGTGTAATGAGAGGAGTTGGGGGAAATCGAAATGTACCAATTTAGTGGCACCTGACAGTGTGTATCAGCATCCTAAAATCGCTTCCACCTAGGAATCGCGTTTGGTGTCCACGTGCAATTACCGAGTGTGTTAGACACTAAAGTGCATCGTTATCCGCAGCAACGCAACGACATAAATGCTGTCGGACGACGTGGAAGCAGGTGGTCGACTACCTCCACGCAGTTGCAGCTGAACTGGAGAAGAAGCTTAAGGGGATGAATCAAACATACAGCCACACTTCTGATGTCTACTCTTGGAAGTGCATCCAATCGATTGCTGAGGAGAGACAGAAATCGACGGTGAAGAACGCTCTTACCCTATTATTCGTGGTATTAAGCTTGGGGGTCTAGTTCGCGAACAAGTAACAGTATTTACAACACTACAGCGTTGTCTGGAGAGGGTTCCAGCATTAATACTTGTGGCGTTTCAACCACTCCTTTCGCTACTACGCAACGCACTATGACGGTAGACTGCAGTGAGTTCTACGACGTACACGCAAAAGTCGGGGAGAGTACCGATGCTCCTCGTCAATGCAGTGAACTGTACTAAGATCGTTTCCATAATCTGTCGATACTGTAAAACAGCGCCAGAGTAAACCCTCAAGTCCGCGTCTTGATGGAATCAAGAAGGTGAGAACTGAAATTAAGACGGATAATAATGACGACCTCCACATGTGCCTCCAAGTCATATAAAACAAGCTCGTGTCTGTCAGCTTCGAAAAAATATTAAAAAGAAGGCCTGGAAAATCTTTACGGGGCTAGCGTACCATTAGAAAATGCAGTCACTTCAACGTTGCTTCCTCTTATTATCGATATCGGCTATTGGGGGCAATTAAACTGACCAGCATTCTTAAGAAACAGTTAAAAATGCCACAAAACATGGTTGCCCCGCCACTCTTCTCGGAGGCGGAGCTTCTGGACGTGCTCACAGGGATCGACGCGGATAGCGTGAGAGACGAAGCTCCAGGACCTTCAGTCAATGTTGTGCTGAGTGAGGACGTGCTGTCGTCGGAGCAGGCCTTTGAGGACTTCATGGATTCGTTCGGGTCGGGTGACGACGTGGGAGTCCTGAGGGCCTCTGATGGCAGCCAGTCTGAAAGTACTAGCTCCGCATCTTCACTTCCAGCTCTGGCCACTAAGAGCAAGCGCAAAGTGGGCGCTACTGCCTGTACAGAGATGCCAGCGCCGTCTGGTGTAAAGCCCAAGCGGAAGCGCCGCAAACACGAGCTGGACCATCTTCGAGCAGTGGCAGTGGAGCTTGAGAAGAAACTTCATATGCTGAACAGGGCGTCGAACGAGGAACAACCAGATGTCAACCACACTTGGAAACACATTTCTAACCAGCTCATGACCGAGCGACAACGGGCTGTGGGTGAAAACGCTCGACTGCGGCAGCTTGTAAGGGAGCAGGTCAAGTCGGTCAAGGCAATGCAGCGGGCGTTGGATAAGACCCCCGATTTAAGTGTAAGCCATAGTGGCGATTCATGTTTTCTGTTGCGGTGCTTAATACCTATTGTGATGTGATGAACGGATACTTTAGAAATTGGGGATTGCATCAGAATGCTCTACGCTGAACGGAACGACGCGATGTGAATCGCCAACGTCGAAGGATCTGTACAGAGAGCTCTTCAGGAATATTTCGTCTTCGTACAGCAGTGGTGTTGGCAACTTATTGCTGCATCAACCCAGCATGCCAGCACCTAGTCTTGTGGGCAAGAGAAAAATGAATATGGAAATGGAGACTACCGGCGGCTGCGGGCCGCGAATATGTCTGCAGTTTGTGGAGAGCCGACTGATACCTTTTAGTATCGTGAGGATCGGAGATCAAGCCTGGGACTTTCTATCAAGCTCAAACGGTCACAAAGACTTTCAGATGGTACGAAGTGGTAGTAATTCAGGCTGCTATATCTATTCACGCTAGTCAACTGTGTGACAGGCCCTTCAAAATCAAGGCAACGAAATGTTTGGGCATTGCACGGTAACTAACCCCTCTGGTTCCAGGCAATCTTTGGGCAATATCGCAGTTCGAAGGTACTACGAGTCGAATAAGCTGAAATTCGTGTGGGAGTGTGACGGGCTGTGTTCGCACGATGATATCTCCATGCGTGTTCACCAAAAAGGATGGTGCGTCAACTTTAGTAGGATTAATTAGCTGAGAGCTCACAGGTTATGCTTGTGTAACAATGATAGGTGCGTGTTCGAGCCAGCAGAGGAAGACCCTCAGAATGCTACGATCTTTCGTGCTTGTGTTCGAATGTCCCCAACTCTCGCAGACAGCAGCGATCCCTTCATCGATTCGGCTAAGGCCGTTGGGCAGACCACCGAAATTGTGATCGAGAACTACGAAAAGACAGTCCTGTATATTTTTGACGCCGTATTGGACTCCCTTGCTGGCAAGGTTGTTTAATCGACTAATCCTGTTGCATGAAAATGAGGAGAACCGGTCCTTCAGACCGGAGCTCTCTTGTGCCACAATACTCCGAGTCGGGAGTTGAACCGTGACGGATATATGACGCAGATTGCTGCTCTTCTATTTGTCTTGAAGTAAACGAGTTTCTAACTTCAAAGAATTTCTCTTCGGCCTCTGTTGATAATTGTTTGGGCGATTCAACCCAGATTTATGAATCAACCACATTTTGTGAGAGTTGTTCACGCCATTGTATTAAATAACACTAATACGATCAATATTTTCTGGATTTAAATCCAAATCCAGAGTTTCGCCATGGACGGCACGCGACCTATAGAAAAACTTATACTTCTTATACGATTCATGAGTAAAAACTCGTTTGAAACAAGCAACATTGTTTCAAAAAGAGTTTTACTCATGAATCGTGTATGGTTTCTACTATCTTCTACTTCCTCTGGTTGGAAATGATCACGCGAAACCGACTACCAATTGCTTCAGCTCTATTTAACAGTTACAGCATCTGATTGGACAAAACGAAAGCCCCGCATCTTCTCTTTTTCTAGCCACTAGTTTTGCGCTGAACGAACTACTGTAGCCTCTGCCATTTCATTTCTAACTCTTAAGGTCTCCAGCCTCGCCTGGAGTGCGACCCGCCACGCCTGCGCTACGCTGCGTCTCCCTCTACAAGCATACCGAAGTCCAACCTTACCGACACCGAGCGCAAAACCGTCATTGACGAGCTTCTAAAGATCAGCAACAATGGAGAAGTACCCCGTGGAGCGTTTGCTAAAGTTGGTGTTCTAATGAGCCGACATTCGGACACCGTGAGGTTAATTTGGAAGCGGTACAGCTCTGCAGTGACGGCTGGTGTCGTCGTGGGGGGGGGAGTGGCTTAGCCGGATTAAGAAGAACAGCGGCAGAAAGCGGAAGAATCGAGACGAAGTACGTGACAAACTGAAGAGTGTTCCCATCGAGGATAGAGTGGTTAAACGATGTGTGGCGGCGGTCTCTCCAGGCATCTGATAAGACAGGCAGTGAATGAGGGGATTGTAACGCGACGAACCACGTTTATCAAGCCGGCACTAACGAATGATAACAAGATACGGCACGTAGAGCACGCGTTGTCGTTTATCGACAAATCTATCTTGCAGTTCGAGCCTATGCACAATCTAGTGCATGTAGATGAGAAGTGGTTTTACGCAGACCGCAACAGACGCTCATACCTCGTTTTCGACGGCGAAGAACTACCTGCACGTGCATGGAAGAGCAAGCGAATCGTTCCAAAGACGATGTTTTAACTGCACTTGCACGGCCAATGTAAGCCTCTATATTTTTAGTTTTTTGGAAAATGAAAACCGTTAACATTTTATTTTTAATTTTAGGTACGATCCTCACCGAAAGCAGCGTTGGGATGGCAAAGTTGGGATATGGTCTTTCACGGAACAGTACGAGGCGAAGCGGCGAAGCAAAAAAAAAGAGACAAAGGGACTATTTGCACTCGTAATATCGATACAGTCTGCCGGGAAGTATACAAGGAATACATTCTGACGAAAGTATTCCCAGCGATCAAATCAAATTGGCCAAGGAAGGATCGTCGTGAAATCATATTCGTACAACAAGACAATGCAAAACCACACGTAGCGCTAACAGACCCGGATGTAATGAAGGCCGGAACTGAAGGAGGATGGAACATCAAGCTACTGTGCCAGCCCCCCCCCAACTGTTTAGCCCTGGGTCTGTTCGCCTCCATGCAAAGTATTAAGAATCGAATACCAAGAAAGGGTATCATCGCTCTCATAGCGTCGTTTGTGGGCGCTTTTCGGGAGCTGAAGACTGACACAATAGATGATATTTGTTTTGAACTTACAGGCATATATGCAGGAGATTTTACGAGAAAAAGGAGGCAACCTGTACAAGCTACCACACTTGGGGAAAACAACGCTCCGGAGAGCGAAACAACTTACTGTTAGTTTGCCATGTAGCAAAGAGCTGTATGAGTCTGCTGTCGCGCTACTTAAGTCTTCGAACCGTGGCAGTGCACTGCTATTCAATTTAACCCTTTCGTGGTCAATGGGGGCATTGTTCCCCCATTTGGAGGGCGTATCCTTGAGTACCGCTCGTGTCACCCACGACAGGGGGCAAAATGCCCCCTGTCATTATTTTTGTGTGTTGGACGAGGCGGATTCGCCCTTTCTACTTGAACTACAAGGATTTGCAGAAGATTTGCTGTAGTACCGTAGTTTATGAAAGGGGGAAAATTCCTTCTTTGATGGCCTAATGACTTGACCTTCTATACTATAATATAGCCAGGTCAAAAGTACCCGTTCGCGAAAGGGTTAACATCATCATAAAAGACAGTTAATGTGATCTACAAATTTATATAAATCGCATAGTAAGTTTTTAGCGGATAACAGAACTATTGACCTATCATACTAACTTCGCGTGATCATTTCCGACCAGAGGAAGAATAAATTGGTTAACCTTTTATCTCAAATATCATTGCAAATATCACAAAAAAGCTGGTTGTATCCCTCTTTAAACGTATGCATGTGTATTCATATGTAAATGAATGCGCCACTTGCTGCTAAAAATAGGTTGATAGACCTGTTGTACACAATATCCGGTGGACATAAAAAAACACAGAATAATGTTGACTGTGACGGGGTCACACAGCACCTTGCGCTGAGGAAGTAGGCTTCCAAGATTATACAAACTCTAAGTGAACGACCGTTCACGTGTCCCTGGTCTGAGGGCTCAATTAAGGGTACCTTTAAGACTGACTGTATTTATAGGTAAGCTTAGCTTGGTTTCTAATACAAACTATAAGTCACCTATAGTAAACCTATGTAGATATGCAATGATTGGCTTCTAGAGCCTCTGGTACCATGTACCAGGTATTACAAGAGTGACAGGTCACTCTTCATGTAACTTGGGTACACTGGGGTTCGTACCCCGTTACATTGACTGTGGTGACCGTGAACAACATCATAACCCAGTCACCCAGTAAATTTTCTTGAAGATTATTGGATGAAACTCACCTATCTGTGATATGAATAACAACCCAGTGAGTGAAGTAATTTGGAGAAGCAGTAGATACTGCGCGCCAAAGAGCGTGTGTGACAGTGCCCGGCAAGCGAACCCTGCTGGCGTACATCTTCATGGGCAAGCACAAAAAAGCACAAAAACCACTGGATGGGGAAAGCAGAGAAAGGAGCTCGTCATGCCATGAGCGAGAGCTTCAACAGAAACGACATATTCATTTTCACTGGTTTAAATGGTTTGTCTGCTGTCTACCACCCAAGCGGCCCCAGTTGGCTACTGGACGGGCATTTTGCCCACTTTCAACTTGATACGGTGAAGTATGGAGCTGAGCTCGGGTTTCATATTTTTGTTTTACCCGCTCACACATTGCATTTCTTATATCTTTGGACGTGTCAGTTTTTGGCCCTTTCAAGCGTTACTGTGAAAATGCACTCAAACGTTTTCCTCGTGAGAGTAATCGCAGACTACCAATAAAGGACGATGTGGCAGAAGTCGCGTGCAAACCATTGATAAAAGCATGCAGCAAAGATAACTTTAAAATGGCTTCAAAAAGGCAGGTATTTTCCCGCTACCACTAGATGTGATGCTGCAGGGAATTATCCGTAACAAGCCTGTCATAAATCGCTAGACGCTACCGCACGTTGGTATTATCAAGGGGCAAAAGACACCACCTTTGAAGCTGTTAGAAGTCTCCGAACGTCAAAAACGTGTTCTGCGTGAGCTCAATCTCAACACCGACGCTCTCAATGCTGTCAAGCTTCTGTCGAGTTTTATAAAAAAAACCACGTCCTCAGAAGCGGACACGGAGCAAGTGGATTGACGACAGGTACACTAATGGCGACTTGCTTCATTACGACATGTTAGTTGCTGCCGAGAAGGCTAAAGAGGAAGCCGTAGCTGAAGCAAATAGACGGAAGGCAGAGCGTGCGACCGCAAGTCATGTTGTGAAGGAGAGGAAAGAAAAGGAGAAGGAGCTGCGAGCGAAGGCGAAAGAGAAATGTGAAAAGGGTCCAAAAAGCGAAGCAGAGAGTAGAAGAGAAAGGGGCACGAGATGCAACTAAAGCGGGGCGTTCCGCCATGAAGAAAAATAAGTACACTGGCCAGACGGTCGATTTGTGGAAGAAGACCTCATCAGCTGTTGATATCTGCGTGTGGGTCGTTGTCTGACTGTTGTGTAGGTAGATTAGTGCTAAGATTTTCGTGGTATTAGGTACTCTATATAAAAAGTGACCTGAAATGTCTAGTCCTGTCGTGGTATCATACAAAAAAGCAATAAATTTCATAAGTGACCTGAAATACGTCTGGTACGGATAGTTTTTCAATGTAAACTTGATGTTTGTAAGGGGCAGGCGATTTCCAAACCGCATTCGACTCACAGGTTCCAAAATATTAGAGGTAAGGCGTATCCCTTACCAAAACCAATTTGAAATTATGGCGCCATCCACACCTTTAAACACAAACTCAAAGCCCACTCACCGAATGTTGCAAGTAGCCAAAAAGGCGAACAAAGAGTAGGGCCTTGCCGGAGATCGAATCCGGGACCTCTCGCACCCTAAGCGAGAATCATACCACTAGACCACAAGGCCACGCAAACGCAAATCCACACCCACATGTCGCGCCGCCAGCACGCACCCCTCACGACCCACAATACTCCACCAGCCCTCGTGTTGCACTCTCCGTCCTACTGCGCAGCCGTGTGTACCTTCCTCACCGACTTTGAGCTCTGTGCGACGCCGCTACAGGCCACTCCGTCTTCGACATCATACAGGATGTTTCAAGCACGCTCATCAACACTGCAGCGTACCACATGCGCCAGGAC